ATATATATATATATATATATATATATATATATATATATAAATATATGTAATAAAAAATATAATATAATAATATAAGAAGGTAATAAAATATAATAATTTAATAAGGAATTATGAAAGTGTCGGGAAAATAATTGATGACATTGTGACAAATGTCATCTTAGGTTCGCTTTTAGTATAGGTTAATAGATAGATAGGTTACACACACCTTGTAACACCCAAGAAATTCCTTTCTTTTAAAATACCTGTTTTGCCCTGTTTAAATCCTTAAATAGGAATAACTAAGGCATTACCGCCACCGTAAAAACGGCTAAGACAATTATCAAAAACATACAGCGGAAGACTATCTAAAAAAACATTCAAAACAAGTCAACTATAAAGCCAACCAAACCGAAAGTAAAGTCAACCCAAAGTCAAACGAAATAAAAAAAAAATCAACCTACAACTTGGAACCATTATGGGCCCTTATTAAAACCAAACCAACTTTAAAACTTTTGCATTAGTCATGCATAATAATATCATAAATAATTAAATCATTAAACACATCATATACTTATGGAAACCAGCATGATTCGCTCTTCACTCATGCCCATTCATGAATATGCTTCACCACCTGAAAAACTTCTCTCCACTTGTTTCCACTACTCTCCATTAGAAATGGGTCATCATAGGGGCAAGATAAAGACAAGGCCAACAAACACACAAAACACACAATCATCAAAGCTGAGTACATAAGCGTAATTAACACACTAACATACATTTAGCTATCAACACACAACTTACCTGGTTGCATCTGTTTACAAGCACACACAACATTCAACAAGACTTCTCAACTAGACCACTAAATAATTTATTTAGTGTTGATTACGTATCGAACGGGTTTTCCACTCAACCTCCCCCAAATAAATTGAGGTTACTGACACGAGAGCTAACCGTGCCAGCATCAATAACCACTCATAGGTGGCGGAATTCCTGCTCATAATAATAATAAAATGGATGTACAACTAGGGGTGAACATGGTCTGGTTTGGTGTGGTTTGAGTCTAAACCAAACCAAACCGCAAAATACGGTTTGGTCAATTTTCCAAACCAAACCAAACCATATTAGTATTGAAACCAAACCACACCAAACCGTAATAATGCGGTTTGGTGCGGTTTGGTTTGCGGTTTATGATGAGACGACATTTTTTCCTAAAAATTGTCAAATATTAATAAATTTATAATAAAGTTTAAATAATTAGCCCAAAGGGATTAATTTCTATTACAAATTTTTAATAAAAATAACAACCAACTAATCAAGTGCTAAGTGCTAACACAATAACACATAATAAAAATAATACATAACAAATTAACAGTGGAAAAAAACATAATACATTTGTCCAAAAAAATAATTCATACTACATTATAGTTATATGACCTATTGAATTTTAAGTATTGATATTTGAGATTGAGTATAGAGTATAGTATATTGACCGTATAGTCTTCTAATGATTTTTCATGTTTTTTTTTTTTTTTTATAATATGTAATAACTATTATAATTTATTTAAAAATTATATAAATATTAAAATGCGGTTTTTCTGGTTTACGATTTGGTTTGGTTTATAATTTTTGAAAAACCAAACCAAACCGCAAACCGTATTTCCCAAAAAATCGAAATCAAACCGTATTTTTCCAAACCATAAACCAAACCAAACCAATAAAATGCGGTTTGGTCTGGTTTGGTTACGGTTCAGACCAAACTGTGTACAGCCCTATGTACAATGTCCTATACTCCAGTAGAAGTTATGATCAAATATAAAGTCACATAAATCCCCTCGTATGTTCATACTCAAGGTATATATATTCCAAAAGTTTTGGTACGTAATCTCTTTCACTTTACGTTATTTACAAATTATTAAACTTGGTGATGACTCTCAAACCATAATTATTCAATCAACAATAATTTATTCAATCAACCAAATATACCAATTTAATTCTTGAATAATTAGTGACCACATAATATTTAATGTTGAATTCTTTTTAATTCTACCTCGGTGCCAATGACACCTTAAACGCATAAAGCGCCACAAAACCTATCCCTCGGTGTTAAGAACACCTTAAGTGCACTAAGGCACCAACATGCAATTTATTCCTCATGTATATAGACATTTATATAGCTCTTTTCTCATGTTTATAGCATCAATAAAAATTATATAAACCATAATAAAATTCCGTTTTAATATTCCAAACCAAATTAAACGTTTAGTTTAACTAAACATGCTCTCTAACATGCCATAAATAAATATGTGGTTCATAAACAATACTCCAAACTATAATTTTCCAACAAATAATCCATGACAAATAAATCATGCCTCGTTATTCAATCACCAACAACAACCAATTCATAAATCCCATTCCAAATCTAGCATGATACTACTTGTAATCAATTAAGCACATTTAGCATGCTACTACATCAATATAATTATGCTAAGCACGCGAACGTACCTCAAATAAACCCTTAAAGTAGCCGATTATACTACAACAATTCCCGAATCAAGTCTCCTACATAAAGGGACAATAATACTATATTAATTCTCCTTGTATACGCAATTTCCAGCAACTTAAATTTACTTTAGACTACGTAAAATAATCTGAAAATTATTAAAAAAAAAAAAACCCTAATTAAATTCCTTTTTAATGGGTAATCACACCCTTTTATTAAAATCACAATTATACTACTTTAAATAAAATTCCAACATTTTAAACTAATCAAAACCCTTTAAAACTTCATCAAAATACATCTTTATACTTAAAATTATTCATAGAAACATTAAATTATCTCTTACCCTTTAAATTCAAGGATAAAATTTAAAACATAATAAAAACATCGTTAAAAATCAAAAACAGCCAAAAAATCATATTTAGAAGCTGAATTTGGCCACGAGAGGGTGGTACACACTACCAAAAGTAGTGAGTCTTTCTTAACACGTTGTTTTCACATGGAAAACACTACTTTTTTTTATCAAAATCGGATGATTTCAGAACCTGATCGGGTTTAAAACGGGATTAATATTAACGAACGGAAATCTAAAAATTAAAACACGAATTTATGTGTTCAAAATAATTTGAAACTAAGTTAAACTAATCAGTAGTTATAATCACCAAAATTTCAAAACATCACTACCATAAAAGCCCTAAATCAATTGTTCATAAAAACCCTAAAATCATAATTAAAAACCCTAGGTTATAAAATTTACAAAATCTGAAAATTATGACATTTACAAAATCTGAAATTATAAAGTTTAATCATCAAAATACAATTTGATACTAATTAAATTAATTTCAAACAATAAAATCAAAACCCATAAATCAATAATTATAATTACACAAATTAATAAAACAAAGGAGAAAGAAAATAAGACTAACCTTTTTGTGTGGGAAATTTTTAGGGATTTATGGGGTATTTATAGAGTAGAGAGTGTAGGGTTAAATTTGGGCTTATAAAAATATGGGCTTAAGTTATGGGATAAGGCTTAAGTTATGAGTTTTGGAATGGCGCATATTCTTGGCTGCATATTAGTGCAGCTAGAATAGCTGCAACTACGCTAAACGCAATGTGTAGCGCATGAAACGTAGCACGCAGCTCATCCCTTTCTTCTTTCCTTTGTAGCTAGCATCCTTCATGCGTTTCTTTCTTTCCTTTTGCTTAATTTTTATTTTCCTTTTTTCAAATTATCGTTCTTCACTTTTCTTTTCCTGTAATAATTTTGATCAAAATTTTCTCTCTTTTACTTTTTCTCTTTCCTTTGTTTTTTCTATTTTCCTCTATCGTTCGACTTTTTCGATTGATTTGCTGAGTTTTTTCAATCAATTTAATGTATGTAAATGTATGATCAATATTAATTTGATTGAGGTTTGGTGATTTCGTGATGAATTTCAATTGATTAGGTTGATGAACATGCAATTTTAATTTTGTTTTATTTCTGAATTTTTTTCGATCAATTTGATGTATGTATATGATTAATATTTTTTTTCATTGTTTATGTGTTGATTTTGTGATGAATTTTGTCTGTATTTTGCGCTTATGATGATGAATGTTATGAATTGGTGATTTGCTATGGATGTGATTTTTTTTTTCAATGATTTTGTGATTACTTTGATTAATTGTAATTGTAAACAGATTGCAAACTTTATAACATTTTTAAGTTATGAACATTGATTCTTAAATAACGAACATAACATTATTTTTATTTTAGTGAATAATTTTGTGGGTATTCTGAACATTTTGTACACTAGTTATGAACATATAATGTTAAAATTAAGAACACACTCTGTTATTTAATTATTTCAAATAGTACAATTGTATTTTCTGAAGCCAAAGACTATGAATTATTGAAGAAAACAGTAACTTTGCATGCTGTTAGAAGGATTCTAAGATAGATTTTGTTCCAAATACTTCGTCATCTTGACTCGAGATAGAAGGATATGAAGGTCCTTCAATTTCTTTTCAATATAATCTCCCAAAGTTTTGACCAACTCAATAAAATCATCCATAAATTTCTCATATGGAATGAGAATACAATATAATTATTACGAACATAAGGTATTTAATTATAAGTACAAGAAAATTGAGATCTAAAATAAAATGATTAGGAAACATACACATTATAAGTAATATAGATATGAACATATGCATTACAAATGTGAATATATGCATTTTAGAAAATGAACATCTGCATTCAAAATATGAACATGCATTTGTTCCTTCAAAGTGAACATATGCATTTCAGAAAGTGAACACATGCATAAAAAATATATGAACAAATGCATTTAAGAAAGTGAACATAAACATTCAAAATATGAACACATGCATTGGTTTCCTAAAAGTGAATATATGCATTTCAGAAAGTGAACATATGCATAAAAAATATGAACATATGCATTTAGAAAGTGAACCTTAGCATTCAAAATATGAATATATTTTATAAACATGGAAAATTTGTCAGAAACAACCTTTTAAAATGTTTACTTTATTTAAAACAACCTTTTAAAATATTTTTTGCAACTTCAGACCACATTAAAAAAAAAAAAATTCAAAAGACAACCCAATGCAAGTTTCCGGCGTTGACTAAATCTTTTCCGATGTTGACTACGCATGTGCAAGACACGTGCCTCATATATTACTTAATACACCCAATTTTCCTCCAATTAACTCCAATAAAAACCCCTGCTTCTCTCTCCTTCCTCTTTGTCGTTCAATTGGAAAAAAAATTGCAGAACAAATTCCTCTAAAGCTGTTTGAATATGGGATTTCAAGGTGTCAACCAAGCATTTCATCAATTTCAAACCAGGTATCGTGGTTTTTGTTTTTTTATTTTATTTTTTTTTTCTGTAAATTGGTGTTGCGAAAAATTAGGGTTTTTTTCCCCAAACCCAGGACGGAAATTCTACGCTTGTAAGTTCTACAAACATGAAACCGGTCAAAGGGGATGCAACACGTTTGAGTGGCTTGATGAAGACATTCTTGACTAGCAAAGGGTTGTCACTAATGTCTTGATTGCAGAAAGGAGCAAGTAAGCCACTGATTTAAGCATTTTGAAGGCCAAACTTATCACTAACAGAGCATGAGAAGCAAAGGTTGTATGAAGAATCGGACAAAGTAAAGAAGAAAATGCTCAAGAAAAATGATTGACCCTCAATTTGCTAGAAGATGACAGAGCTTTCTTCTTCCCTTTATATCTGACCATGGCAGCAAATGGCAATTAAAAAAAAAAAAGAAAAAGAAAAAAAAAAAGAAAAGAGGATAAGCGATAATTGAGAAAGTTTAAAACTTTAAACAAAAAATGAATGCTTACTCTACTTGGGTGAAACGCTAAACATCGCCCGCAATTTACCATATAAGGCTCACAAATATGATATGATTTGACCATTATGCCCTTTTTCTAAAATTGAAATAATCTCGGTGTAAAAAATGTGGAGTCGTACTGGCTCGCCGAAGGAGACCGGATGGCAGGCCGGAGATGCGGGGGACGCCGGAGGTACGTCGTCGTCGACGGAAAACGAGGTAAGTCACCGTTAAAATTCACGGTTTACCGTCGGAGTGGCTCCGGCGCCTAGGGTGGACGCCCAAACCGTAGCCTGGACGTCCAAGCCGGACGCCAGAACCACCAGAGTGGCGTCCAGCCCAGACGCCCAGACCACCAGAGTGGCGTCCTAGGCAGACGCCACTCCACTGGGTGAGGCGGCCCTGCCAGGCGCCAGTCCAGTGGCTGTGGCAGCCCTGGCAGACGCCACCTTTAATAATTAATTTTTTTTTTCTTTTATGATTTTGTTGTTGTTTTTTATTTAATTTTTTTGTAAAAAAAAAAAATCGAAAATGATTTTTTAAAAAAATTCGAAATGGGTTTTTTGTAAATTAAATTTGAAAATTCGAAATAGGTTTTTTTAAAATTAAATTTGAAAATTCGAAATGGTATATTTTTAAATTTAGTTTGAAAATTCGAATTGGGTTTTTATAAAAATTAAGTTTGATTATATATAATTATGTTTTTTTTTGTGTTAATTCTGTGGAAATATAGAAATTAAATGTATTATCCGTTAAATGTATTTATTGTAATATATAATTGATGCAGGAATATGGTGGAGACGGAAATGATTACAGTGGGATATTTGGACATGATGGTCCATTCGAAGAAGCTCAACAGGCGATTGATTGGGCAAAACAGGTTGCAATTGCAGCTGGATTTTGCTTGGTAGTAGCAACTCATAAATCTCAACGGGATGGTAGAATGGATCGCATTTTGAGATGTGACCGTTATCGCAAAAGAGAAGAAAGAGATTTTCGTACAGCCACTCGGTTTGACACAAAGCGGAAAGGTTGTGGGTGTGAGTTCAGAGTAAAGGTTCGACAACTACGGAGTCGTGACGGTTGGGAAGTGATAGGTTACTCTAAATGGGGGTATCACAACCATAAGATGATAGTATATGAAGAGGGTCATCGACAACTGAGCGGCTTAAGTCCTGCTGCGAAACTAGTTGTGAAAGAAATGAGTGATGCTCAAGTGAAGCCTGCTAAAATATTAGCATCTGTGTTAGAGAAATTTCCAGAATACCATCCAAACCGAAGACACATCTACAACGTTAGACATCAACTCAGGTTTGAACGGTCAGAGGGAAGGAACCCTATACAGCAGCTGCTACACCAGGCACAATCACGTGGTTACCTGTTCTGGTTTGATTTTGATGAAGATACAGCGGAGGTGACTCATCTTTTCCTTGTGCATCCTGATTGTGCTGATATGATCAAGTCTTGGCCATTTGTGATTTTGATCGACTCAACGTACAAGACAAACAAGTACAAGTTTCCTCTGGTTGAGATGGTTGGGATGGCTCCAACGAACCAGAACTTTCTGATTGGTCATGCAATCATCAGGGATGAGACGGCTCCAAGTTATTATTGGGTGTTGGAGAAGCTGAGAAACTACATCGGGCCTAATGTTCATCCAGCAGCCATCGTCAGTGACTGTGAGGGAGGTCTCTTTGCCCCCATAGCAGAGCTGTTTCCCGAATCGAACCACTTATTGTGCACATGGCACATCAACAACTGCGTGAAAGTGAAAGCCTACAACCTTTTCAAGAAGAATTTGGAAATGGCAGAGAGATTGGTGAATGGTAAGTGGCGGAAGATCCTACAGGCTACCACAGAGGAAGCGTATGAGCGAGCATTGGCTAACTTCAGGGATTCGTACCAGTGGTGTCCGGCACTGGTGGACTATGTGATGCATCAATGGGTCCCTCACAGGGAAAAGTTTGTCAAATATTGGACAAACCAGGTACTTCATTTTGGGAACACTACAACATGTAGAGTTGAGAGCGCTCATAGAGCTACCAAGGACTGGATTGATTCATCGACCGCTGCTTTGGATACACTGTTCGCTAGACTGAACAAGTCAATTGAAACTCAGAAGAACGACATCAGGAACTCTCTAGAGGACTCCAGACGACGACATGGTACGATGTATAGCCATTTTATATTTAAGATTCTCCAAGGTCGTGTGTCGCACTACTGCTTGGGGTTGATTCTCACTGAGCTGAACAGGGTGAGGGACTTGGCTGACGAAGTGTATACTCGGTGTGGGTGTACTATTTCAGTAACTCATGGATTACCTTGCGCATGCACCATTCACCGCGTTATTACAGAAGAAAGGGCGTCGTTACATGTTGATCAGGTCCATTCATTCTGGAGGACGCTTGTTATTGGTGAGCATGCAGACAATCAAACGGCCGACCGTGAACAGGAGGAGTTGGAGCAGTTCCGTTCGATGTACGACCGAGTGTCCTCCAGCCATCCTTCTATTATTCGTGACGCTACTCATGTACTTCATGACATGTTCCAACCCTTCTAACTTAGATTATGAGGAACCCGAAGGAGTTGACCGTCCTCGAGGTCGACAACGGCGGAACAGGAGTGCGTTTGAGTATATCCGTGGTCTTGGTCGTGGTCGTTCTCGTGGTCGGACATCGTCATCTAGTCGTAGTCAATCTTCATCGTCTGTGAATATGCCCCTGGAAACTGGTACGTTTTGGTTGTTTTTATTGCACATAGTTTTAAAGTGTTACTCCTGCCTTCTTAACTGTCTATAAATAATTATATGGTGAATAGGAAGAAACGATGTTGATCAGTTTCCGTACAAGGAAAGGATACCTGCGATCATCATGTCGTACTTGGAAGGGTGGAATGATGTAATCGGAGATGGTAACTGCGGATTCCGGGTCGTGGCTGATGTTTTTCAAATGGGCGAAGACAACTACGGTTTGGTGCGTGAGTTGATGTACAGCGAAATTGCCTCTAACCGAAATGTTTATCGTCATGTGTACCAGGATGACTTGGATGGCGCTCTGCTGCGTATCCGGTGGGGAGGTGGACCTTGCGGCGAAAATCATTATTTTGACGCGCCCCTAGATCTGTTTGCCGTTGCAAACATTTACAAATGCGCAGTCATGCATTTCGGCCTGGGAGTGCATAGTCAAGCTTATTATCCTTGTACCACGGTTCTCCCTTGGCAGTCGCGTGAGACTGTCACCACACCGGTCAGAGAGCTAGCTATTGCGTTTCTTGGGTCGTCATACAGACATTTCATCCGACTAGACATGTCAACCGATTTTCCGGTGCCACCTATTATACCTCGGTGGTACAACATTCGCACAGCGAGCGTAGAGGGTTGGGATGCGCTATATAATGACCGGATCCACGAATGGAACACCCTAGCTGCATTTTAGTTTTTCATGTTTACATTCTTTATTTGTAATCTTATTTGTACGTTGCTCTTTTAATGAGAACATTAATATTTTATATTGTATTGCTTCCTGCATTCTATATGTTGCATGGGTAAGTTGCGCGGATCCACGAACGGTTATATCAAAATTTAAAAACAACACTGATAATATGTTTAAGTTGGAAGATAAAAGAACAATCTAAAATGTTACAATTTTACAACATAATGTCCAACATAATGCTCTATAAATAAAATACAATAACCATCAGTAATCCCTCCTCGACGACGACTCCCACTGCGCAAGGGTCTGTTCCAGACTATCAACAACAGCTCTCCCTGTTGCACTCATGCTGTCCTTCTCAAGAGAGAGTTTCTGTACCCCAGTGCCCTCCAGTCGCTCGAACATCTCGCTCTCCGCCGGCCAGGCCTCAGCCCATGTACGCAAAAAACTACAAGTCTTTTCCCGGGTATGACATTTCAACAACCCCGTAACTGAAGGCCTCTCCTGGTCCTCCCAAATACGGGCAGCTATGTGTCCTAGAAAGCTAGGAATCACACTCCCGTCAACAGGCCCACCGGGCACCTCACTCCTAACAACCCAAGAATCATTACCGGCCCTCGACCGTTTCCTGCTTGCCCCAGATACAGTGGACGCAGATGATGTGCCAGATCTACTAACAAACCTACCACCCCTACCCTTACGCACCTCCACCATATGCGTCTCGTACATGTCATCAACCCTCTGACTGAATGGACCGTAATCATCATACGGTCCACTGCCATCGTCCACATCCTCATCCTCATCTGCGCCCTCCTCCTGCTCCTCCTCCTGGTCACCCTCCTCAGCATCATCATCGTCATCGTCATCCTCATCCCGACGGTGGATCCGTTCTCTACGAACTGAGGCCGAAATACCACGGGATCTGACATGTCTATGCCCCGACCTCTCCACTGAATAACTTCTACTAAGAAGCTCTATATTTTTCCCCCCACCATGACGACCCAGTGAATTCTACACAAAATTTTAAAATATATAAACATACAAAAATTTATACGATAAATAATCATCATCGCAAATCAAATAAACTAAAAACATACAAATAATTGTAAACAAAATATAAACGTAGAAAAAATACAACGAAATTGAAAAAATTTATAAAAATAAACAACAAAATATAAAAACAATTCAAAATTATATTACAAAAAAAAAAAAAAAAATTAAAAACTATTTTTTAAAAAAAAAAAAAATTGGGGGGGGCGCCCTGGCTGGACGCCCAGCCGGCGGTGGTGGCGCCAGCTGCAGACGCCGCCACCAGTTGGCTGGCGCCTGGGCTGGACGCCACAGCCACGGTTGTGGCGTTTATTCTAGGCGCCGCAGCCGTGGCTGTGGCGTCCAGCCCAGGCGCCAGCCAACTGGTAGCGGCGTCTGCAGCTGGCGCCACCACCGCCGGCTGGGCGTCCAGCCAGGGCGCCCCCCCCCAATTTTTTTTTTTTTTTTTTTTTTTAAAAATAGTTTTTAATTTT